ACAGCATGGCACCACAGATAGGGAGGTGAGAGAAGGGAGGTGAGGGAGACCCCACAGCCAGCCAGAGTTAAAATAGAATTGGTTCGAGAAGCCAAGCAGTGGACCAGGGACAGGACTGTGCAACAGCTTCAAGAGGGGCTGTCTCCTGACGTTTCCTGCTCTGCATGACCGCTCACCAATCCCCTTTCCTAGGGAATGGACTTTGAAGCTGTGAAATATAAGAGTGGGGGGGTCATCTAAGAAAAGCCTGGCCACTTGGCCACTGGCTGTCCCTAAACAGGATAAACTAATGGTGGGCTCAGCTCAGGGCTCCCTGTGGAGTGGAAATTGCACACAGCAGCCCCATGCTCAGTACTGGAAGCAGAAATACTGCATAGTTGCTACCCTGGAGGTGCTCAGAGGTCTGGAGAGAAGGAAAGCATGCACAGAAGCAGTTCACCATGCTGAGTAAGTACTGGTGTTTAGGCCAAGACACAGGCAAGGCCTATGGGAGAGATCAAGGTGGCTTTTGAGCTGAGAAAAGTGGAAAGTAAAAGACAGTCTGTGCAGGAACTGCACTCAGGACAGCACAGGCAGACCTGAGCTTGAGGCACTAAAGGTAACCTATCTTCTTGGTGGGAATAGTGGGGGAGAAGTTCCAGAAACAAGGCCCAGCAAGCCAGTTGGGGTCTACTTAAGAAAGGTTGGGCCTCTGACACTTGGGACAGACAGGAAGGCTGCATTGAAGTCACAAACACCTCCTATACCCCATTGGCGTCCTACAAACCCTGGACCATACGTAGATGAGGACAACTTCCCCCTTTGAACCAGCACCAACATGCAGCTTCCAAAGGGGTGCCCAAACCATCCTGCCTAGCCAGAAGGCCAGAGGGGAAGGTACTGTGTTGGGGAAAGTTAAAAATAAGCAGAGGTGCAGAACAGATTCCTACTGTCCCTGAGCAGGATAGAGTTCAGTCAAGGATCCTGCTTGAGGAGATGGAGAGGAAAGAAAAACTTCGTAATTGCCAGGGCTTCCTGTGAGAGGTTTGCCCCCCACCCCCACCCCCACCCCCTCTATGGGCACACTGACTTGTGGTCTCTGACTAGCACAGGGGTGCTTTCAGGGAGCATTGGGGTGGTGAGAGAGAGAGGATGACAATGGAGGACTGGAATGTAAGAATGGGGACTTTGTTGCAGGGACAATGATGACTCTTTGGTGAAGGCTTGCATGGGTGTGCATTGGGCCTGCCGGGTTACACTGGGACTGATGGAAGGGAAGGGCATGGGAGGGGCATGGAGTAGATCTTGTCAAGTTCAGGCTTCATGGGGGAAACCATGAATCTTAAGGATGGCCCCCAGGGTGGCTAGTGAAAAGGAATGATGTGGCCTGGAGGGAACTCTGGCCACCAAGGAGAAACAGCTGGCCAACAGAATTTGGCTCCTTCAACACCATCCCTGACCTGCAATTGAGGCCCCAGATTGTCAAAGGGAGAATTGGGTTTATTAAGACATTGGGTATGTCCCTAAGGAAGGTCCTTGGGCAGTGGGGGCCTCCAACACCTTCCTAGTTGGGCCCAGGGTGCCATTCTACCCCAGTTAACAAAAAGTATGAGTGTGAGATTTGGCAAAACAGCCCAGGTAAGCAACATCTAAAACCATATTCACACACCTCTGGTCCTTGCCACATCCTGTGATAAAATGAGAGTCACCGTGTACTTTTTTAGCAGAACCAGGGCTCAGAGAGAGCACTGTTTATTTTCAGCATTGTTCCTTGGGGTCTGTAGTTAGGCTGGGGATGGTGGCTAGTGCCATTTCTGTGGAACCTGCGTGTTGGGAACAGTGGGGCCCTGGTGCATTGTGCTTTGCACCCGACAGCAGCCCTGCATTATACCTGCTTCACACGAGAGCAGAGGAGCCTCCAACAGGGCAGACAACATGCTCAGGCTCAAACAAACACAGGCCTGGGCTGGATTCCTATCTACTTGACTCCAAGATCAGGAATTCATAGAAATGCTTGGTGCTGGCAGAATCACCTAACTGCCCTGGTTGGAGAGGTCACCTGAGGTGAATGGAGACTTCTCCAGAGAAGCTGCAGACAGGCTGTACTCTTGATTTTTACCCTGCAGAGAATGTTGGGGTGACTTGAGAAAGGCAGGGCTCTCTCTGGAGCCTCTGGGGAACAGGTGGGGATGGTAGGCAGAGCTGAGTCAAGTGTCTGTTCCTCAAGATCAGTTTGGGTTAGAGAATACCCTGAGGTAGGCTGCAGAAGAACTTGGAGAGGGAAAAAAAAAAGAAAGGTTCCAGTTCTGCAGGCCTGTAAAGAGGAAACAGAAGAGACCTGGCAGGCTCTGCCAACCATGCCCATCAGCGGAGGAATCTTCTAGTCGATGCTGTCATTGGAGAATATCTACAGACTGACCACAGAAAGGCAGGTGGGTCCTTGAGAAGATGCCTAGGCCAACCAGAGGCCATCAGTAACTGCCAAGGAATTAGGTCAGGTGTGGGACAGGCCTCCATGCCAAGAAGTGTATCAAATGAGCTTCCAGCTCATTTGCATGTCCTAATTAACCAGAAAATGAATCCAAGAGGCAGAATTAAGCTGTCAGTTTCTCTACCTATTTTTTAACTGTCTCCTCCACATAAACATTGCCCTGCACTGTGCATGACTCCGGCCGGAGACATTGCTAGTCACCTATGTACTCTACTTCAGTAGAGCAGTCTCCAATTGCTGTCAGCAGAAGCCAAGAGTGTGAACAGAAAAGGAAAAATTACATGAGGTTGAGTAACCATAGTCTTTCATCAGTAAAGCATGACATAGTCATTGGGACATTTTATCAGCCCCTTTGGGGCCCAGGCAAAATCCCTCCAATAGTCCTCCAACAGATATTCCTCAAATAGACAAAATATACATGCTACTTGTCAATCATGAAGAGATGTGAATATTCTCAGAGGACAAATGTGGTTACTCCTGATCTGGTTGTAGAGCAGATATGGACAGTTTGCCAGGTACATGAACACAAGATTGGGAGTCAGTTACAAACTATTTCAATCCTAGCTTTGTACTGTTGGCCTTGAAAGAGTTAACTTTTCTGAACCCTCTATTCAGGTAAAATGAGCTAAAATGAGCAACCATTTCCTGGGCGTAGCAAAAAGGAAATAAGAGTATAATAAATAAAGGCAAAGGTGCCCAGCACCTGTGGATTATCTTGGAAGCTGAAATTACTTCCTAATTGTTTTGTTTTGGTCCTTTGACTCTTTTCTGGCCAGGTAATGATTAACTCCATTTCTTTGTGTGCTTTGGTAGCTTGGAGGAGAGCAGCTGGTTCCTTTCCCATCTCTGAGTTCTCATCTTCCATTGCAATGCCCAGACAGGAGAGGAGTCTGTCATGTTAGTCAATTTAACCAATGTTAACTACCACTAGTCCACAAAACAGTTGAATTGCATATGGATGGTGAAAAGGTAACGGCTTCCTATGCAATCATAGTCCATGTCCTCTTGAACAATATGAGTGTTCCATCCTTCAGGAATCAGGGTGTAAGTTTTTCACATGTTCATTTTCTACACAGAATCTTGCAGCCACCAATGGCAGCCAGAGTTAAAGAAATGTCAGGATGTGGACAAGAACCTGCTTGGCCAGAGAGAGTGAACCCAACTGACAAACTCCAGGCCAAGGTAGATAGGCCCGATGCCCAGGGATGCAAACTGGGAGCTGCTTTCCTTTGCAAGCAGCCTGATCTGGCCAGCTTACACACCATGACTCTTTGACCCATTGATTTATCGGAAAATAATTCTAGGTCATTCTAGGTCTGAAAGAGATGAGATTATTGCCTGGCAAAAAGTGACAGATCAAAAATAAAAACCTTCTCCCCTACTTAAAAAATGACCATCTATCAGTTGACTGTGTGTGAACATGCAGATGACCCTCCCCACAGCTGCTGTTACCTCCCTAAACCCAGTTTCAGACCAAGCTCCACTTTCCTCCTCTCAGTCCCCTGGGGGGGGGTCCAGGCTGCAAGCAGAAGAGCCTCTCTTGTTATTTTCCTTCTCTAATTTGCTCTTAATGCTCTGGGGGCAGCAGGCGGCATGCCTCTAATTGCAGTTGTCACACCCCATCAAGCTGAGCTGGGTCTGTAGGAGGGGTGAGGGAGGAGCTAAACCGCCCTCCAGGGTGCCTGGGCTTGAACAGGGACCTACTTTGTTCTCTCTTGGCCATAGAGGGAGGGCAAAGATGGCCCCTCCATGGATTGAAGTGGTCCTAGGTTTGCTTATGGGCTCACTACACAACATGCCTGGTGTTTACCCCGCCCTGAAGGTGTATGGTTGACTTTCAGGGTGATGAGGGTAGATGAGTCCTGGATTTGTTCTATTCGCTAGGTAACTGAGATGTGGACTGGGACTTTTTTTTTTTTAATGAGTGTTTTTTCTGGGCTCACTAATCATCTGCTACCCTGCAAAAGCATTAAGGCAGGCTAAAGAGTCTGGATGGTTACTCACTGTTGGACCAGGCAGAGTGTCACTCCAGGGTCCAGCAATAACCCTGAGGTGGCGCTGACCTATTTTGCCCCCTAACAGCCATGCGTGTGTTTTTAGACACCTCGAAGATTGATGCTTCATCTGCAAAGTGGACATGCCGACTTGTATTCATCTCAGCACCTGGGTGAAGGCATATTGCTCCTCTGCACTTTGGAGATACCAGAGCATCTTCCTCCTCTCTCTCTCTCTCTCTCTCTCTCTCTCTCTCTCTCTCTCTCTCACTCACACACACACACACACACACACACACACACACACACACACTCTCCAGGGAGATACAAGAGCATCTTCCTCAACACACACACACACACACAGACACTCTGCAGGGACTGTTACCTCAGCCTGCCCCATGGCAGCCTCTCCCCACTGTTCTAGTGAGGCCTGACTAAGAACTCTGCAGTCCTTTCTTACTGAGGATGGGAACTTGCACCTGGCCTGAAGACCATGCTGTCCGCTCTCCCACAGGGCAAGGCCTAGCACTAGGCTGCCTTTTAGGTTCAGCCAGCTTGTCTCAAATTCAGACCCAGACAGCTGTGTTAATGTCAAAGCCCCCACGGGAGGGTTCTAAGGCCTTGGGGCTGCTTGTGGCAGGGGTTTCAGTGTGCCTGGGCTCTCCCGAGCTGGAGAAGGGAAACCGTCCAGAGCCCTTGGAAAGGCTCCTCTTCTTGACTTTCTGCGAGCGTCCTGCTCGTGACTCAGAGACCATGGGAGTCATCCAGCCTGGTTTCTCTTTGAGCAGCCTGTCTCGGTCAGGCCGCACGCTGCGCAAGAACTTCCTAAAAATGTTTGCTGTTAGGGCAAACTTGCGACCCAGCTCCCTGGACTGGCCTTTTTCTCCTTTGGGTTCACTGGGTCCCCCAGTCTCACCCTTCTCCCCGCCCTTTTCCAGTTCTGGTAGGTCTAGCCAGTTGCCCACAAGGTCTGCAAAAACATTGTCCCCTAACACCAGAGGTTGTCGATTTCTGCCCCTGGACATCAACGTGGAGGTCCAGTCATCTGGTTCCACCCACTCTAGCCCCTGCTGGGTACAGCTTTGGTGCTCCTGCAGCTGTGCCTTGGGAATGACAGCAAGCTCCTTCCCACAGACACTCCTATGACACGGAAACTTGGGGCTGCTGTCAAAAGAAGGCTGGCTGGAGGAAGGCTGGGCCATAGGTGCGGGAGGACCTCCACTGCCCTGCCAGCAAGGGCGTTCCGGCTGTTTCTGTGAGTTCTCGCGGCAGCTGAAGGCCGGCGTGCCTCCAGAAATCTCCAGCTGTTCCAACGCTGTTTGCACCTGTAGGACCTTCAGTTCTTGCAGTGCAGCCATCATGCAGTTCATTTGGTCCTGTAAGCCATCCCCCACCTCTTTCATGGACATCTGCAAGGAGAGTAAACAGGGCCACTGAGCGCTAGGGCTACAGCGAGGGTCACCCCTCAGCCTTGAACCTCAACCTGTAACCTAGAAACATACTCTTCCCGGGTCATCCAAGCCTGCCATTAGACCTTCACCTCCGCAGTCTGCTATAGAACAGACCCGCGTCATGAGAGGAGGAATCTGAACACTGCTACCGCTGGATAAGAGAAATAATATTAACGACAGTGAACTAACCAAGATAGACACTGTCCTAAAAGCTGTTCAGATGCCCTGCCTCTTGCTAAATCCACAGACATTGTCATTAAGTTGAAAATGCATTCAATACACCTAAGCCATCAAACATCACAGCTTGGTCTAACCTGTGTCAAAGCACTCAGAACTTCTATTAGCCTACAGATGGAAAACCTATCCAATACAAATCCTATTACATGATAATGAAATATTGACTTCATTACTTACTGTACTGACCACACCTATCTCAATCAATCAAATAAACAAACCAACAGAAAAACCTAGCATGGCTATGAGTACGCCTTGTTCAAAATTCATTAAGTTGGAGACTGATGTTAGTTGCCTGATGCTTGTGTCTGTGTGTAGACATATGCATATAGACAAATATGTGGATGTGTATATCAACTTATATTATTAATTACTCTGTTTTAATCCTTCCAACTGCTCTTTGAGATTGTGACTATTATTGCTTCCATCTGACAGATGACCAAGGCCCATAAGTGATTAGTTAATAAAAGGCGTGGAGCTGAGTTTAGTCTGAGGGTATACAAAGTGGTAGTGGTGAGGCTGGAGAGATGGTTCAGAGGTTAAGAGCACTGGCTATTTTTCCAGAGGATCCAGGTTCAATTCCCAACACCCACATGGCAACTGACAACCATATGTTCCGGGGTTCTGATGCCATCTTCTGGCTTCCTCGGGCATTACATACGTGTGGCTAATGGTAGCAATAAACGTGAGAATATTTACTATGTCATGGGAATCATGCTGATACACCAGGTATCTCATCTCATTCAATTTCTATAAACTCTGGAAGTTTGCTATTTTCACTTTGGCAAGTGAGCAAGCTGTGGCAGGGGGGAAGCCAGGAACCTGAGGCCATGCAGCTTATAAGGCCAGGACTCAAGCTCAGGTCTGCCTGCAGATGGCTGGGCAACAGGGGCAGACTTGAAGGCTACTCTGTCCTCTATAGAAGAGTAGAGAGGGGAAGGGACAGGAGGAAGAAAGGGTAGGCCTGGGGCTTTTTCTAATTGCTCTTCACATATGACTAGTCAGGAGGGAGAGGCCAAAGATCCTTTGTGTCAGAAGTCCCTGCCCCCCCACCCCCCCACCCCCCCCCCAAGCACCTGTTCCCTCATGCATGGATCTAGCATTCTTCCTGCCTTCTCAGCCTTGCTGGCTCTGTCCTAGCCAAGCCAGAAGCAGGGATTCTGGGGCCAGCTCCCCTAGCCCCATGTTCTAGGTACCATCTGGAAGGGGCTGAGGGACTGACTGACTTGGTGAGGGCTCTCCTTGGAGACTGGGGAGGAAAGGCCACCCCGATAACATTCACAAAGTTCTTAGCCCCTGTGCCCAAGCTGCCTTGGGCCTGCCAGCTCCCTCCCCACATCCTGATCAAGTTACTCACAGTGAACCTCTGTGCGGGAACCATCTGTTTTTAAGCCCCCCCAGAGACCCATGGGATCATCTTACCTCCCAGGCTTGTCTCAATGCCCAGAGCTAAGCCCAAGGGGTGGGGGTGGGGAACTAAAATAGTGGGGGACACAGAGCACTGCAGTGTGGGCTGTCTGTCGGCTAGCCCTCTCTGGCTTCTGGGTCAAATCTCCTGCCAACCTCAGCCTGGTGGGAAGAGATCGTCCAAGCTCCCTTGAGCCAGCAGCAATAAAGGTCAGTGGAGGACTATCAGCCCCCAAGGACCCAGAAGCCTTTGCTGGGCTACTAAGAGTGTCCTTGCTTTGTGCGCTTAAGACAGGTCAAGAAGTGCATAGCCCGTCAGCCCTAGGATTGGCTGGGGCACGTATGTGCCATTTGAGTGGCAGGAGTGGTGATGCAGCAACGGCAGGAAGGAGACACAGAACTCACGGAATAGCTGTCCTGACCCTTCCTTTCAGAGATGCTCAGCTGCTATTGGTGTAGCTCTGAATGGAGCTTGAGACTCCGGGAGGGATGCAAACCCAGATCAGTTCCTTCCTGACTAATTACATTACCCTCCAATTGCCCTATTCGCCTCCTTGCTCCAATCTACTCTCCTGTCACCTGGAACTTCTATTCAGCCGCTCTGTTCCTGTCTAATGTATCCCCGCACTGCCCTCCAGGCCAGCAGACCCACAAGTGCCCGACCACTCTACCAGATGCATGTCTCCATTCCATCACCTCACTCAGTGGCTTTCTGTTGTCGAAAGTCAATTTCTTATGAGTCTCCAAGTTATCAAGACCTCTAGTTAAGATCCATGATGGAAAATTTAATTCCAGGAATTTAAATCCGTGTCCCATACATGTTCCCACTATGCTCCTGAGGGCCTCCTCTCAGATCCATGAGGTACATGTCCCCAAAGTTATACTTCTGTTCTGGGCCCATGTCTTCCATGGTTTAAATGCTCAGTTGCTCATGAAATATTTATCAAGAATCTACTGTTTAAAGCTAGAGACTGCACACCACTTCCTGGTACTTTGTGTGACACTCACAAACCATGGATGGAGACTACTGACTCCCTCCCCACATCATCCCTCAGGACTGTTTGCTACCTGAAATCTCTTGCTAGGCAGGGGGAGAGAGTCAGGGCCATTTCCCAAGATTTTGATTTACCAAGCACAGAGTCTAGCTGGCAGGCTTTCTTCCAGAAGGAGGAACACAGTCAGGCCAAAGGTAGTGGGAGGAATGAAATGACCCATTCAGTCTCCTCCAGTGTGGAAAAATCCATAAGAAACAATGCTGACATTCTGCATAGTGTTCCATCAAGATTTAATGTGTGTAGGAATGTATGAATATAGATGGTCGGTAAGACAGGGGCTCCTTTTTAAGAAAACAAGTGTGAAATTGTATCCATATTGAAAATACTCTACATTGGTTCAGAACTTGGGGTCTAGAAACAAAAGGAATGGGGTTCAAATCCCAGGTCTGCCATGTAGTATCTGTATTTTAATTTTTCTATGAGGCACTGTTGTGTTTATTGACTTGTTCTATTTTCTTAGACAGAGTTTTGCTATGAAGCCCATCCCAGCTTCAAACTCACTATTCTCCTACCTCACCCTCCAAGCTTTGACATTATAGGGATGAGCTATCACACCCAGCTCAATTTCTCTACTGGCACACATTCACTGAGGGTGATCTTGAAAATCTCTTTCTCTGGCTTCCGAGTGCTGGAATTATAGGTATGCCCTCTATGCCCAGTTTTATGTGGTGCTGGGAATCAAACCCAGGGCTTTGTCATAGGCAGGCACTTGAATAACTGAAGGTCATCATCAGCTCTCTATCTCCATGATTTAAAATAGGAGTAACAGTCCAGGCCTCACCAGCCACTGTGCAGATTAGATGAGGTAATGGTTTTACCTATGGGGTGGAAAGGAAGCATCAAGTGCAGGCTGCCTGTTAAGACCTCCAGTGCGTTTTCAAAATAGTTCTCCCTTTGTGAAGCTTCACACGTGTTAATGGCAGGATTCCATGCATCATGTATGGTCTGACCTAGGAGAATGCCTCTTTTGTCCAGCTCCCCAGCTTCCTCCTAACCCTCACACTGATTTCCAGGAGTCCATCCTCTGACAGAGGATAAACTGACACTGAAGGGAAGGCAGTTATGAGAGGGATGAGAATAGAAGGGAGCTATGGGAAGCTGGGAGGGCCGGGGGCAGAGGAAACAGGAGCATCCTCTGGGCCATGACCGTGAAGGGAGCCAAGAGGATAGACAGCCTTTCTCACCACCCCCAAGGGGATGATGTCATCCATGGAGAAAGAGCCAGAGACAGCGCTGTTCTCTTCACTCAGAGCGTGGGACCATCTGGGATCCCTGGGTTTCTCTTGTCTTAGGACCAAAGTGGGAGGAAGGGGGATGGTGTGGTGGGAGCAAAGGGGTGGAGTCAGCTTAGAGAGCCGGAAATAAATAACTCTGAGTGACAGTCTCTATGCTGGTGGGCCTCTTAGTATCTCAGAACCATTCTTCCTGCAAGGACCAAGTCTTGACCTGCTTGATCTTGGAGTCAACTGGAGACATCCTAGGAAGATCTGATTGGTTCTTCTCTGAGTAGAAATGGACCCAACAGCCCTCACCCCAGCCACATACCATCAAACACAAAGTCCTTAAGCATACCCCCAATGGAATCGCTTTGAGAAAAGCTTGAAATGTCTCTTCACCTCCATCTTTGGCCTTATATCATCCCCAGTCCATCACTTACCTCTAGCCTTGCCTAAGATTTTAGCTTATTATCTGCACATCAAATTTTAGTCTCTCTGGCTACAATCTACTCTAGCCTTCCTGGTGTGGTCAAGCGTTCCAGGCTATAGTTTGGGGACCCTGATGGGGTCTAACTGGTAAACTTTGCACTTGTCATTAGGTAGATTCACCTGTGTTTCTTTAGGTTGTGAATGATTTCAATGTCAACCCTCCTGTGTGAGGCATGTACCCTCTTCTTTGCACTGCTGAACTCCACCATTGCTCTGGGTGGGTGGCTGGGCTAGGCAGGAAGGAGAGAAGCACACTTGATGGATTAGGAAGGGAGAGATTCTCTCCGGTCATCTTTTCTGGAGCCACTGTTGCTCAAACATTCTTTTCCATTTTCCTTCATTGTCTTCACTGTATCTTCATATGATTTAAACTCCTATTTATTATTTATTCTAATTGATGTGCTTATAAATGAATTTGCACAAAAAGTATAGCACAAGCCACCAACAGGTGGGAGCTGTAAGTATGCAATCACTGTAACTCCTGTTCAAAGGCATTTTAGTGAGAAAACTGGGATCCCAGGGTGAACCCCTTCCTCTAGGCCAGTGGGCCTCCTTT